GGCATCTGATAGCATTGGTTGTCTTGCAGACACTGGTCAGAACAGTCCTGCCAGCTGATGCATGCAGGGGCTGGAGATGGGTTTCTTGACCCATTCTCGTTGGTGAGTTGTTCCCAGGGATTTGTGCCACTGTTGTACCACAGTTGTACCTCCTTAGTTTTAGGTACAGACTCTCTCTGTGCAGCTGACCAAGGGGAATGGAGCAGCAAGCCTGTCTGCCCAGCCCACCATCTGCTTCCTTTGCTGAAGCCTTGTTCTGATGAGGCATCCATCAGGTGGCAATTTTTATCAGCAGCATTCATTGTCAAGAAATAGGCTTAAAGGATAGAGAGAAGTCTCTTGAGACCCATGAATCTGTGAGTGGAGGACCACTGCTGAGCTTACCAAGTCTTTCACATGCAGTCTGTCACAGAGCTCTTACATTGCAGAGATGGCACAAACCCAACAGGGACCTGTGCAAATCAGACCATGCACACAAGGAAGAGAATCAATTTGTTAACAGGCAAATTGGCTTTCTGTGACAGTGTGACAAAGCTGTGGTTTAAAATGAGAACATAAAAGTAGTGAGAGATTTTATAGGTGACATGAAGAACAATGTACACAAGAGCAGTGACAGATCCATTTGCTGAATCTGCACAGAAGCAGTTAAAAAGGTGCTGCCTCCAGCCCCGTCTCCACTCCTTTGCTGAAGGTTATGGCCCCAAAACACAAGAGACCATGTGGTTAAAATGCACCGGTCCTCGTCTGAACTTTCTGGGCTGCAGGAGGTAGCTGGAAGCAGTGAGCTTGTCTTAACCTTGTTAACTGCAGTTAACCTTGTGATAAGATACTTGCCTACCTACAAAATCCACCTCTTCTGAGCTGCTGCACTCCAATGCTATCTAACTGTGAATGGTTTCCTCCACACAGCCTGCATCCCAAATTACCTCGCTGTGTTGAATATGATTTACATGAGTTACTGAGTGAATAGTGGGAGAGGTAGATGGCCATTAGGTGGTTGGTGCAGGGCAACAGAGCAAATGCTTGCATTGGGTTGAGATGAGAGACAGATGGGAGAGAGGCTGCACTTGTGATGGGGTTGCAGGTGGCAGTGGAGCAGGGTGATCCCACACCAGTGACCATGGGAAGACATGGAGAGCCTTAGAGGATTTTGATGACGGAGGGAATGAACCTTCTCCCTACAACCCTCTCCCTAATCCCTAAATTGTTTGAAATCACAAGGGGGCTGCCAGAAATCCTAACAAATTGTTTGACACTAAGTAGTAAAATATTCTAATCAATAATGTCAAATGCTTCACTAAGATATACAAGTCTCTTGCTCACCAGCTAATACAAGATCATTAACTGCTCATGGCAAATGGAAATGAAAACCCAACAGGAGACAATTAAAAATGCTGGGCCAATGTTCTTATTTGGTATGAGATGATGCAACTTTGGGGTCACAGGGATTGCATTTGCTCTCATAACAGTGTTTTTTGGCCAACTGGCATTAATATGGTTCCTGATTCAGGAATGCAATTGCTAATTGTGTGTGGTATCCTGTTGAGATGAATGGGTTTCAGCCCACACTTTAAGTATATGCTGAATTGCTTCGTGGAACAGGGGCTGAGGACAAGACAGGCTGAAGCGGTCCTATTAGAAAAAGAACCTGTATTAAACGTAAAAAAGAAAGGTAGGAAGAAGAATATATCAGCTCCTTTAAGAAGCTCTGGGAAAAGTTTCCCAGGAGGGGAATGTTTAGAGCAGATGTGAATAGTAAACAAAAAACCTTAGCAGACTTACCTGTGGAAGAAGATAAGTGCTGGAGAGTGGCTATCTGCTGTTTCAAAGGGACCTGTAGTGTTTCACAGCTGAGGCAGGATAGGAAACAGGATGCCCAAACTGGGGCATGGGGTTCCCACTCTGCCATTAAGCCATTGTGTGTCCTCAGGCTGCTCAGCTCCTCTGGTGTTACGGTTTACCTCCTGCAAAATAGCTGTGATGAAACTTCATAGCTCTGGATCCAGTCAATCCATATTACGAAGAGCAAGTTTTTGACATATATGACCAAAAGTGCTGCCTGTTGCATGGGAGACAGGTCAGGTGCAAGACTGACAGATGTCAGCCAAGTTGCTCAGTGCTCACTCAAAGAGTCCCCCAAATGCCATTTGTGTAAAACGGACTAAAAATCTACATGTAGGAAGAATGTGATAGAGCAAATGCAAGTCTATACCAGGGTTGAAAAAGTGAGAGGTTACTGGTGCCTTTAGAGTTGGTGTCTGGGGTTTTGCTAGCATTAGGCTGGAATCATGCCTATTAACTCATGCAGCTTGCACGTTTCAAGGCTTCATGCTGCTTGTTAGCTGCCTAATCCTGGGCCATTGTGGTCACTGAGGTCTTACCACTACATGAGTAAGATCAAGCAGGGTTAAGTCTGGCTTGCTCTGTTCAAATTAGTAACGTGGTCAAAGCCAAAGGTTCGTTGGGGTGAATGAACTGGGTGAGGTTGTTCCTGCAGGGCCGCTGGCAGAAGTGAATAAACCTAATCAGGCTTTGGGAGGAATAGAGGACACCGATACCGCTGAAGTGCTGCAAGCCACAAACAGGGAAAGGTGAGGGAAAGGAGCCCCCGTCTAGAGATTGAACCCACAGCCAGAAGCTGGGATGGTAAGAGGATGCTCTTGGAAAATGTAGCCTTGATAGTAACGAGCTGCAATGACTTAATTCCAGCAGAGTCTGGAGGTGACAATAATTAGAAGCGAAATCTTAGTCACAACAGTGAGCATGAGAGAGCAAATGGCTGATTAGTAACTAGATCAAAAACATCAAAACGGTTGTGCATGGACGAAAAACACAGCTTGTGAGGCTTTATGGACAAAGAAATCTGACTGAAGGCAAACAAAGCAGAAATGAGATGGACAGGGGATGAACTCTATGATTCCGAACATTCCTTCAGCAGAGTCATTACAGAGCAGGTAACAGACAGCAGGAAATTGGAGCCTGTTTCAAAGGACTAGATGGTCTCTACGGGGTCTGAAAGCCAGGCGTCTGTTGCTTAAGAAGTAAATCTAGCAAAATCTCATTTCTTGTGGATCTGCCTTTCAAAGCAGCAGTCAGAGGAGGACTTTTTGGTGCCTAATGAAGGCTGAAGCAGCACAGTCATCTTTCCTTTTGTAGATGCAGGCCCACGATCTTTATTCTGTCCAGCTGCCTATTTATGAACTTCATAAATCTGGCACTCTCAGTGTTCTCCCTGGCCAGCAGTTTGATCAGTGGTCACCAAAGCAGCAGAAAACACACCTTGATTAGGGAGGATTAGTTGCTTGAGAAAACTGAGATAGAAAAGGAAGGGATAGGGACAAATAAAGATAAAAAGGTGGCAGTGATGGAAGAAATGCTGAGGAACAAGCAAGCAGAGACAGAAAAGGCAAGGAAGCTAGCAAGAAGAGAAGGAGAAATAGACTGGGAGTGGGACTGGTAAAGGGATTGCTCTTGTCCCGGTGATGCCCACACAGGCACAGCAGTTCAGGGATACCATGGCTTTTGCTCTCACTACCCTTGGATGGGTGCAGACAGGGTGGAGGGTGTTGCTGGAGCAGAATGATGGGCAAGCAGGGCTTATCCTCATGGGGGAGGACAAGCATTTTGCCCCCTTCTGATCCCAGTGGAGATAGTGGGTGGAGCTACAAAGTCCTGAAGGTGCAGTGGGAGGCTTGATTTATGTCTTCCCGACTCAATTTCTTTCCTTCCCTTTGCCCACAGCTCTCTTCCGCCCTGCTGTTCGATGCTGTGTATGCTGTGGTGACTGCAGTGCAGGAGCTGAACCGGAGCCAGGAGATCGGGGTGAAGCCCCTGTCCTGTGGGTCTGCCCAGATCTGGCAGCACGGCACCAGCCTGATGAACTACCTGAGAATGGTGAGAAGGGACTGACGTTTGGTGTGTCGGGAGCTAGTGCTCATCACTGCCGGAAGGAAAGACCATGTTCATGCTGGTGTTGGCACAGTTCTCAAGCGCAGTGCCAGTCTGTTTGAAGGTAGCTCTGGGAATGAAAGAGACATCTGAGGGCTGGTTTGTCACTGGCCTTGGAACAACATGAAACCTGCCATTTTCCAGGTTTTGCTGCAGAAAACCTGGAATTCAATGAGGGGTTTTTTTTAAGCATAGATGTTTCTCAGTTATTTGAGCTCTGTTTTGAGTGAACTTGCATTGATATAAGGTCATGCAGTACAACTGCTTAGAGCGCAGTGGCACAATGTGAGTTTCTCTGTAATGGGGTTTGGGCTCCTTTGAACCCAAAAGTGTGGTTGCTGGAGCTGATCAAGCCTAGTCCTGTCACAAGAACAGATAATGAAATTTCAGCCTTCTGAAATAGTTGGAGTTTCTCAATGTGGTTCCTTGGAGCTGAGCTGGACCATGCAGAAGGAGCGTGTTTCCTGAGTCTGCTTGGGATGTGACTGAAATGTCATGAGATGAGGAAATTTAATGAGAGATTTCTTTCCTCCAAAGGAAAGCTCAGCTGAAGTTTACGCTTGCACCCCTCTGGTCCGTGCCCGTGAACCCTGCTTTAAATCTCATCCTTAGTCCAAAACAGTTAAATCCTCCAGCTTCCCTTGGCTCTGTATCTTGATCTTGCTAATGAAGAGGTGCTCCAGCAGCAAGCAAGCAGTGGTCAATCTGCACAGTGAGGCTAGATGCTCATCCTGGCTCTGTTGCAGCATGCTCTTGTGTTAAATGTCATCCTGCTGCTGTGAAACAGCACGTTGTGGTTTGTGGAGGAATCCCCAGTTCAGCGTGGCACAGTGAAGAGCTTGCGCCTGCTCCAGTGTTAGCCTTGGGATGGAGGGAGGCAGCAAGGGGTTGCAGAGGTGATTGTTTCAATGCAAAGAGATTTGGGGAGCCCTGCACCTAATGCTGCTGATGCTCCTGCTCCCCTCCATCTCTTTGCTACCCTTGCCAGACTCCAATAGCAATTAGGATTGAGACACAAGGATTGCCTTGCTGTAGGTGCTAGGAGAGTGGATGGCTTGTACATGGGGCAAGTGATTGCTGCCTGTGGCTCTGCTGCAGGCAGTGGAGTGAGCCACCTTGATGGGCGCTGTAACTCATTCTCTCTTGGACAGGTAGAATTGGAAGGTCTCACCGGCCACATTGAATTCAACAGCAAAGGCCAGCGATCCAACTATGCCCTGAAGATCCTGCAGCACACACGCAGCGGCTTCCGGCAGGTAAGAGCTGCCCTGGGGATGGTCTGTGTGTAGCTTGGTGTGTGGATGTTACAGCAGCTCTCTCTGGGCCTAGGTTGGCAAACAAACCATGTTTTGCTTCATTGAGAATGTGGCTTGAGATAATTCAGATTTGTGTTCGTGTATCAGGCCCTTGAGGTGGTGATTTTAGAGCCAATATCTGTCCTGTCACAGTAACCCTTCTGTGCAGGAGATATTTCACAGCATAAAGTGTGTGCCAGATAGAAGCTCACACTCGAGACATTTTAGTTCTTAAGTTTGTGGAGACACACGTACCCAGAACTATTTGAATGAGGGAGAAATGAGAGAATTCGCCATTAAATGGGCAAGAAAGGGTACTATGAACCTTTCCAAACAACTGCTTCTGGGAAGGAAAGCGAAGGGGGCAGTCCCATGTCAGGAGCTCCCCACCATCTCTCCCCAGCGTGCAGGAGGAAGCGTGAGATAATTTACCTCTTGGTTTATGGTGCGTGTTCCTCTTAATGGATTTGCTTAGCGCAGACTCTTGTTTGATTTTGTCTCAGTGCTCATAAATTCCTTACAGCATCGGTCCTTTTTCTGCTTACTACCTTCTTTCTGTCCAAGGGATATTTTCTGCCTCCAGCTAAGGTTAAGGATAACCTTGTGGAGCCACAGATATCAAACTGGTGAGATAGCATCACACAAGCCCAAGGAACTGGGTTTTTACTGGTAAATACAAACCTCATTCAGGAAAGAAATGGAAGTCCCAGGAAAAGGGTTTTCATCTGTTTTATTTCCCTCCTGACAGCTCCACACCTGCCCTTTTCTCAGAGATTGCCACTTTTCCCACATGCTGACAGAGAACAAAAGCTGTTGTATCTTACCCCACACCGACGGAGCATTTTGGCATTAGGAAATCTCTCCTGGTCTGGCAGCAGTGAATTGTAGCCTTGGCAAGGATGTTGCCTGCCAGTTCTTACCTGTCAAGTGACAGCTCAGCTTTGATGCTGCCTTTAGCTGAGTGAGCAGGGGATCAGGATGGCATTTTCCCCACAGTAAGATAGCACCAATGCCCTTTTAATCATTTTCCAAACCCATCATGCTCTGAGCAAAAGTGACAGATCCAAGCCCATCTGCATTAATATGAACACACACCCAGCTGGAGCAAAGCAAGCAAATGCTGTAAGATTCGTATGACAGCTATGTTTTTGATGTGTTTAAATGTGGCAGGGTGTTCACGTTAAACACACAGGTGCTTTTGTAGCAGTGCTTCTCCCAGAGCTCCACAGAGACTGCGGCCTAATCTGCCCTGAGACACAAGTCTCAACTCTGCTCCCCAAACCCAGTCTGACAAGAGAAAACCTTTTCAGACCTGTTGCAACAGCTTGGTAAATGAACAGCTTAATGTTCAAGAGGTACCCAGGGGGCTTGTCTGACTGATAGCAATGCCAGGAGGAGTGTTAGGGCCCCTCAGAGGCTGTGAGTTCATTATGACGTGCCCAACTGGGAAAGGAATCCCTGGACAGAGCTCTGAAACCCAGGCAGGCCCCTCTTTGCCACCTCAAAGGGAAGCCAAAGGCCACTCTGCTGTGCCATAGCCTGTCTTCTTGTAATAAAAATGACTAAATAAATTGCAAGAAATCATTTAATTAAACCCGCTATAGGGGACCAGGGTAAGGAACAGACTTTCACATCCTGGAGACAGTTTTGTTCCCAAGGGTTATTATATTAACTCATTTGCTCAGGGTCTTGTTTGAAACACTTCTATTCCCTCCTTAGTTTTAATCAAGCTCACGCTCTCTGCCCATTTCTCTCTGTCCCTCTTTCTTCTCTCTTCCCCTCTTTCTCTTTCTCTCTCCTTCCATCTACTGAAGCCACAGGGACTTACAGCTCATCAGCTTTGATAGAGAATTCACAGCATTTGGAAGCCGATCCAGCCAGCAAACAAATTAGAGACACTTAGATTTTCTAACTTGCTGTTGCTTTTGGGCAAGGAGAGACAGGGCTTTTTGACATCCAATTTTTAATACATTTATGTAACGCACCAAACGTGTCTTTTCCTGATTTAGCTTAACTAGTGGAAATTTTTCCACAGCCATATGAGAGCTGCTCTCTGTTCATAGGATGTGCAATAAAGCATGGGCTCATTAATGTGCTGGTGATCCATAGATCTGACAAGGACTGAGTCTGGAAATGTCATCTTTTTATTTTCTGCCTTTCTTTGCCCCTTTAAAAAACACCGTAGCACACCCCTCCGGTTTCAGCGCGGTGATGTGCAGTAAACCAGGAGCTAAGGTTTGGCAGCTTAATAGAAGGGAATAAAGAGGGGCTGTGATTTAGACAGCCCCAGGGAAGGCATCTGTGCAAAGGGGAGGCAGGGAACGTTGCTGACAGGGCTGGAGCCCCACCGTAGGCACGTTGTTCCCAGCTCTGCCTGTGACCCCTGGATCTCGCAGCCAATTAGTTGCCTTTTAGCTCAAGGCTCTGCTGATGTCCCAAGACAGAGCAGTGGGAGTGATGGGGGTGTCTAATCACTATGTTGATGACATGCAGATGAGTAACCGGCCGATAGCTCTGAGACCCTCTGCAGTCCCCATCACATCAAACCTATTTAACTTAGAACCAGCTAATCAGCCTCCATGGGACTTGTTTCTCTCTAGCTGTGACCCCAGCAAGAGTTCAGGGACAGATCCTGCCAAGAGTCGAGTATCTTTTGCTCCCCAGGACCTGATGAACTCGATGTGTGGCACCATCAGTCCTGCCTGGGCTATGTCAGGTGCCAATCATGTTGTCTGAAGGCAACATCTGGGGAGATAGAGGATCTTGGGGGGTTGCTGCATGGTCTCCAGTGGGTTGTGTGCATGTCTCATGGTTGTACAGTTGGTGCTCTCTGTGTCCCACGCTAACTCCTGTAGAGGAAGCTTTTGCCTGGTTGCCTTGTTGGCAGTAGTGTCCTTCAGGAGTGCCAACCACTGTGCAGTGTCCTCTGAGAACTTTCTTTCATTTTTTGTTTTATTCCATTTTCCCTCCCCAGAACTCCCAAATTCCTCCCTCTTCAGGTCAACAAAAGCACCATGTACCTACTTAACTCTGTCTTCTCCTGGCACAGCGGCTTTCCTGTTAGTGTTGACAAGGTTCTCCAAACACAGATTTGATGAAAGATGATAGCATTTTGAACTCCTGCCTTTTTCTGCAGACAGGGAGGAAGGAGAGGCAAGGAATGCTAGCTTTAGGATGGTGTTTGCTAATCAGAGCCCAAAAGGTACCTGAGTTTGTTGCTGTGGTGGTCCCCTGCCTGTTTGAAGACATCTGTATTCAGGGCTGGATTTACCTTAATTTTTAGCTGGGGAGTGAGGATGGTAAGTACCTGTGGTGCCTCTGAAACTTACGGAGAGCTCTCGCTATGTCATCGCTCCCTGCCACCAGCTGCCATTCACGCCTGCAGGGCACTGAGCTGAAGACTTCATTAAAATCATTAGTTTGAGCAGTATTTTGTCACCTCATGCCACAAGGAACTTGAAAGGCCAGGCATCATTAGCATGGCTGTGTCTGAACAGGGGAGCTGAAGGATTGAAGGAGTGAGTCGGGAATGCCCCGCTTGCATCGCGTTAGCTGCTGCTGCTGAGAAATCTTAAGTGTCACTGATCAGAATAACACCTTTTGCAGAGTAACTAAATTGAGGCACCTTTTGTGCCTGTGGGGATGGAGCAGTGCCATGAGCAACGGCACTTCCTTGCTTATTCCAGGCTCGAGGCTCTTTGGGCTGTGTTGCACTGGAACTGTGTGTTTGCTCCCTGCCTATGACAAGGACATATAACAAGACAGACCTCCTGCCTTGAGACGCTGGCAGGCATTGCAAACAGGACAGGCAGAGGGGGCTGTCTCTCCTTATGGCCCTGTAAGGACATAGAGGGAACTGTCTCCATCCAAGCCACAAGTTGTCATCTGTCACCAGGCTGGACAATCTCTCTCACAAAGGTATGGAGCTCCAGCTTTTGCAGCAAGGTGGTTGTGTTGCCCTCGTTGCTCTTCTGGGAAAGGTATGCCATCACTTAAGCTCCTTTGATCATTAGAAACCCTCTTCCAATTTTCAGCCTGTTTATTTCTGGCTGGTTTATATCTATTTATTTTTGTGCCAGTGCTATCATTTTAGCTTCAAAAGCTGTTCTACCTCTTTGCTATGGGCCTCCTCCACCTGCTGTATTTATACAGACCAATCATATCTGCTACTAAAAAATCCCGAGTCCTAAAAATTCTTAAGTCCTAGTCCAGAGCCTTAACAACAGGATCATCTTATCCATGTGTGTGTAGAGCACTTGATTGTTTTCTAACACATTTTGCAGGTGAACGTGTTTTCTGTTTTTCGGAGGCTCTTTACACATAGATAAAGATGATTAAAATCACCTTGACATCCATCTTGCAAGAGAGGAAGAGTTCTGATGATCCCAGACATCCTGACACATTACACTTCAGAAAGAACAAACAGCATGAGGAGTCAATTAGTGGCTTTATCATACTGTGAGGGGGACAGTGTGAGCTGGAAAAAGCCAGGATGGGCTTGAAGTACCCCAGCACATGGGAGTGCTTGGCTTTGGTGCTGTGTTAAAAGCAAGGTCAAATCCACTGCACTGTCAGAGGGGGAGGCAGTCAATTAGTCTCAGTGTGCCAGCAAGGGAGGGACAAATTTGAGAACAGTCAGGGCTGTTAAAGTTAATCTGTCACTAATCTCTGGTTGTGAAATCTGGGGGAAAAAAATTAGGCAATGTTTATGACTGATCACTCGGAGAGGCAGTTGCTGCAGAGGGTCTGTTGTTTAGCGATCACAGCAACAGGAAAGCATTGGGGAATACAATCAGAATAAATTCATCCTGTTGCACTGATGCAGACCCTGCACAGGCCAGTTAAACCTCTGCTTCAAGGACTCCCTGGCCATGAAGGGCATGGTAAATGTCCCAGTTTGGGACAGTTGCTCCTAGAGATGAGTCCTGCACTACAGCACAACTGTGATGCTATGAGCTTGGTGGTAATAAGGTCATAACAAGCTGCAAGAGAGCAGGATGCTCACGATCTGCGCCCAGACATACTGTCACTGTGCCTCCATGTCCCCATCTGTCAGGTAAGGCTGTAAACCTCCCAGTGCCTCTCCTGGTGGTGGTGAGCCATGAGAGTTAATGCTTCCAGCACATTCAGAGGTCCTTGCCATGACTGGTGCTTTTAGCAGAGCATTGTTAACAGCGGCAAAGGGGCTGGGCTGACAGCTGAGAGGAATAACCTCTGTTGTGTTATCTGCAGAGTAAACAAGCCCCTCCTGGGGTCTTAGCCAGCTCTGCCTGTGCTGCTGCAGCCCAGTGCCTCAACTCCAGCTGGGGAGGAGAGCAGACATGGACATGCACATGACTATCCTTTGCTTTCCCTGCCTGCTTTCCTTCTGCAGAGCCATCGAGTATAAGCTGCCCTGTTTGCATTTTCCACCGCTCCTTATGCCTAGGGCTGAGGGGACTGGATTTGGGATTCCTCACAGATGGCAACTTTTATAATGGCTTGTCAGTCGCTTGGGCTGGATTTGCACTGACAGCCAGGAGAAGAAAGGAATTGGCCCTTTCCTCGATGTCCAAAATGATCCGGTCTGTTGACAGCACAGCAGAACTGCTGCAGTTTCAGGTTGTGTTTGGCTGGGAAGTGACTCTGAAGTCCTCAAGCCATCAGTCATGCCAGAGGCAAAGCACTGCCAAGAAAAGAGACTGAGTGCGTGGAGTCAGTCCTGGGGCGGTGTAAATCAGCGTGCCTCCCATTCATTTCCATGGCAGTGCCTCTGCCTGGCCAGTGGCTCTGCTCTCGCCTTCCACCCAACTCTTTGAACATAATAAGATTACTCTTTGACGGAAGAGAAATCGATTTGTTCCTACCACCCTGACAACCGTGGCACAGCAAAAGGATAACCTGCCTGAGACCATCAGCGCCCGAGACAGCTCGTGTCAGTGCAAGGGAAGAGAGAATGGATTTGCTCTGGCAGCATGGCTACAGAGGAGCTGTGAAGACACCCCTGCACATTGGGGTCACCCTCTACCTCTTAGGGATGCAGCAGATCTCTTGAGTAGTGTCAGTGGACTTAGGCTGTGGCCTAATACAGCATGCAGAGGGTTTGGACCCGATAGAGGGAGAGAGGCTTTGCAAGAGAATAAGGAGAGAGAAGGGGTCTCGGAGGGAGCTGGGCTCCCTCATCCACTGGTCTATCCATGAGAAAAAAACGGAGGCTCTTTTAGGAAGCACAAAGAGAGAGCAAAGCCTAATTTGCATGCTCAGAATGAGCTGCTGGAGGTGCTGATCTCCCTGCCCAGAGCTCTGAGGGAGGGAGATTAGGCTCTTGAAGTTAAAATTAGGTTTTGTTGAATATTCCTCCCCCTGGCTGAAGGCAGCGGCTGGTTGCCTTGCGTCACAGCTGAGTCACAATGTCCTCCCAAGCACTAGAGGACCGGTCCCAGCCACTGGTGGTAGGAATTAGGTGTGCTGCAGCAATGCTGAGGCATGGATGGGTGAATTAGGCTGTCCATGGAGCTGTTGGGTGTGATGAGCCTGAGTCAAGGGGTTTGGATGTACTTAATCATAGTAGCTGGCATCCGTTATAGCAGATAGAAGAGATGAGTCATGGTGCAGCACCACTGAGAACATGGCTTCATTTCACCAACCGCCACCAAGGTGGAGCTGCTGGTCAGGGCTGGGTAGCATCTGCCCTGTGTTGGCACTGACTGCTGCTCTGGGATTGCAGGGGAAGCCGTGATGCTGTGATACTCCCTGTCAAGTGGTGTTTTCCTCCAAGGAACAAACAATGCCTATAGCAGCCATCAACTAATGACAGGGACACTCACAGGAGGACAGCGGGAGGTTTCGCTTGGTTTCAGGCAGGTGAAACCTTTGTTCAGAGTTACACAGACAGCATAAGGCAGGACAGGAATTGGTGCCAGGAGCCCTGTCTCTCCATTTTTGGGCTTTCACTGTGAAATCAGACTTCCAGCACTTCCTGAAGTTTTTCCAAGCTGTGTCTGTAACACACGGTGCACATGTGAGTGTGAGGGATGGCAGACACTACCAGTTGCACCACACTGGGAGGGGTGAGCTTGCAGGTTTGGCTGTGAGGGACTGCTGGGTAAGATGGACCCATCTTGGTGGCATTTGGGGACAATGCTGAAGGCTGCTTGGCTGCCATGAGCTGCCCATTACACAGCTTGTTCCTGGTGCAGGGCTTTTGCACAGCTGCACAAGGACATGTGCAAAGGCTGTGAGCAGGGACAGGATTTTGGCATTGTATGGATGTGGGTGTGCTGGGGCCATGTACCGGTGTGTTAATCTCTCTGCCGGCCCTTTGTAGGGGTGCACTGTAAAGCTAATGGAGCATTCATAAACACCTCTTCCAGGGCCAGCTTTGATGGTTGTCTATCACCAGAGCCATATGGCAGGAGCATACAGTAATTTGCCCTGTAAATTCCCTTATTGTGCTGTTTTATCTCTCCAGATCGGGCACTGGCACGTTTCTGAAGGACTCAGCATGGACAACAGGATTTTCTCCTCCAACATATCAGACAGTCTGTTCAACACCACACTCATTGTCACCACCATCCTGGTAAGTGAGGGGGTCACCTACAGTTCCCATTAGCTCTTCGCCATCCCAGTGCTTAGGTGTGCCAATCAGCTAAAATATTATCCCCTCTTTCTACCCCTGTTGGCCCCCAGCATGCAGCATTGAACACTGATTTCATAAAGAACAGACGATCCAATCTCTAATTACAGCACTGAGGACAATTCATGACAGTGTAATTAAACTCAAGTTGATGTTTCATATGGAAATGATATTTGATGAGTTCAGAAGCAGCTGGGGAGAGGACTGGGATGGGGATAAGTTGCCATTTTACATTCATCTTGGAATGATGTTCTTGTTTTGTGTATAGTTGGTAAGTTGGAAGGGACAGTTGTCCCTTCTACCCATAAAATTACCGAAATTGGCCAAGGTGGGTGCAACTTCCATGAACCAAGACGTCACATCTGCGGGCACCACTGTCCTTATTCCAGGTGCTGCTGTGACACGATTTTTCCCAGTGTTCCTTCAAAAAAGACACTCAGAATCCTGTAGAACTCTGTGGGATGTGAGAAAATAGTGTCCAAACTTTGCTGAAAAGAGGGACAAACTGGAGAAGTGGCTGTATGCTAAGAGAGGCTGGGATCTGTCTGTCCTGCCATAACTCAGAGCAGTCATTGGGCTGCTTTAGCATATCCCATTTGGAAACAGCCCCCAAAGCATGATCCCTTAGCTCTGCTTCATATCCTAAACTGGGATAAAATCTGCTGTGCCTCCATCGCATCCCAGACACAGCAGGGTCCAGTGAGTAGCAGTGTAGAAACAGCTCTGCTAGCTTTACATCTTAGGTTCCCAAGTGATCAAACCAGGTCTCCACATCTCTTATACCCTGATTGAGAGGGACACATTGGGATTGGAGGTTGGCCTGGGTGCCCCTTCTCTTTCTGCCCTGTGCTCAGCGCCATGCTGGTGGGATACCTCGGCTAAGATGGGAATGACAGCTGCCCAGTTTCAATGCAGGAAAACCCTTACTTAATGCTGAAGTGGAATCATCAAGAGCTGGAGGGCAACGATCGCTACGAGGGGTTCTGTGTGGACATGCTGAAGGAGCTGGCAGAGATCCTGCGTTTCAACTATAAGATCCATCTCGTTGGTGATGGTGTGTATGGAGTCCCTGAGGCAAACGGCACGTGGACAGGGATGGTCGGGGAGCTGATTGCTCGGGTAAGTGAATTAGCTGCTCTTTTTAACTGTGCTCTAGTGGGACTTGGCAATGAAAAACCCTGGTGCTTTATTAAGTGCTCCAGGATGATAAGGATGGACGAGGGTTTTAGTCTATTTGTGAGACTTTTTGACCGGAGGATCTCCATTTAATGTGTTCTCCCAATAGCAAAGGTATTAGTTGTGTTGATGTGACAGCGTGTAAAGTACTCAGAGGAAAGCAAGTAAGAAGTGCATTTATATGCAGAAAAGTTTGGGCAGGTTCATTTCAGCCCCTTAACTTTGAGTATTGTTTCTGTAGAATGCTTTTTGCCTGCTTGAAGCACGTGGATTGAGATCCTTTCACAGCTCTGCTTTGCAGTGCTGCTGCACAGTAGTTAGGCTGAAACCTGAATGCTTTGTCTGGGTTAGACGGCACTTTGGAGTTCATGTGTGCTCAGCCTGTACCCATCTCCCTGCTCTTTGTTTTCCTCTGCAGCTAAAGGTAGTCCTTCCCCAGGGATCATAAAGCTTAAATACAGCTCACAAAATGCTCCAAGATCCTTAGTAAAATAGGCTTAGCCAAAGCTAACATTAAGATTGATGTTATTTAAACTAATACTTCCTTGCTCACCGATTTCTACCCTGCCTTGTTATTACTGAAGCACCTGTGAGAACCCAGCGACAGTTTCTCAGCTGGTGGCAAATCCAGAGTGAGGTGTATTCATGATAATCCACTGTGTGAGGGGAGCCTCTGAGCCACTCCATCATTATCCTCACAACAGTGGCACTTCTTCCTGCAAAGTGGAGGAATAAGGGCCCCAATCCATCTCCTGTGGCTCCAGGCAGGGGTCTGGGGCTCCTGCTTTCCTCCCTGCTGTGGAACATGAGCGAGCACCTCTAGGAGATGCCCACCAGCATCTGTCTGCTTCTTCCTGGATGGCCAAGGAGACTTGGTTGACACTCATCCTACCTTAGGACCTTCATTTAAAGTCAGGTGGGATAGCTTAAGGTCTAAAAGACTTTCTGAGGGCCAGGGTCAGGGCACAGTATGGACTGGAGATCCCTCCTAACTAGCACCCTGTCTCCTGGGTCGCCTTTCCCCAGTGGAGTGATAGTTCTCGATGCCAAATGAGATCCCACCTCCGTCTGCTTCTACTAAAAAGCCTTCTGCACGGTTGTTTGAAAATGCTGGGGGCTATTGGCATAGTTTTTATACATATCTCTGTGTGTATATACACACACACAATTACAGCTCTGCAATGCTGCTTTTGGGAGGCAAGAAGGAAGGCACAGAGAGCAGCGTGTGATCTGTGCAAACAAAGGAAGGGAACAGCCATCAGATTTTTGGCCTACTAACCTTGGCAGTGCCTCTTCATTAAATGGGAGCTTCTGGAGGGTTGTTTTTCTTCAGTTCTAAGTGTTTTAACTTCATCTTCACATGGAAACCATTTGTTTCTTCTGCAGCTCGAGCCTTATTTAGGAGGATTTTTATTTCTGCTTCAGCAGTGCGGAGCTAGCAAAGCCTGTGTGAGGCTGAATCAAAAACTGGAGAAGAGAAAAAGCCTTCTCTGCTTTGTTCTTCCTAGGCCCTTTAGAGTCTTTATAATGGCTTCAGCAAGTTTTTGATCAGTCCCAGGGACTGACACTTTGGGTCAGGGCAGAGCTGGCCGTGTGCATGCTGTTGTGTTTACTCAGGGCTGCCTGAGACCTTGCTTTCTGAGGCCATTTCACTGCCCAAGGGGCTCCTCTCCTTCCTTGACAGCCCCCAAAGGGGTTAGTTCCAGCCCCTTGTTCATCCTCTAGCCCACTGCAGGACCAGTTGAAGCATAAGAGCCAGCACATCCTATGCTGGGCACACACATTCCTCTTTCAGTGGATTTTTCCCCTGGCCACTTTTCTCCATACATTCTTTAGCACAGAGAGGGGACATCAGCTGGGACAGAAACTTCCCAAATCCTACACAAAACAAAAGCTCTGCACCTGTATCTTTGAGCAGTGCCGTATTACTATGAGCAAGTGATTCCTCTTTTGCACCACTCAGAAAATAAGGCCTGTCTCACACGTACTTAGGACCAGAGGGGCAGACAATTAGCCAGCTCCATGCAATACCTTTCCAGTATTATTTTTTCCTCTGTAATCCCCCTGTGGCACTGAATCTCCTCAGAGCCGTAGGGCTATATGGTGAAGTGTTTCATTTTATTGCTTCTAAATTAACAAGCTATTGATTCATTCTTAAATGCTGAAAATTGTATTACAGCTAATTGTGCGCTATGATACGATTGGGAAGGATGCTATATAAACATAAATCTGTGGCTGACCCAAATTCACCAGTACATATCTTACTGACCTGCTCACAAAGCTAATAAAGAGCTAAGGAAGAGGGGGACTGGGATGGCTTGGGTGGTTATTGGAAGAGCTGTAGAGTCTCCTGTGTCTAGGTCAGCAGTCTTGATCCGAGATCTTTTTAGAGGGAGGGAGATGAATCCATCCATCTCATGGAAGTGTCCTGCCACAGGAGCAGCAACACCAAGAACTGAAAGGACCTTAAAGCTTTTGGGTGATGGTTTTTCCAGCTTCCTCGCTGGTGACCACATTTTACAATCAGAGATGCTCTCCCTTCAACTGCTCTGAAGATGGGGAACTGCAGGAAGGGAAAAGGGGGAGAAGATAGCTCACAATTGGCAGTCCTGCTCTCCACTTGGCAGTGGGTGTTCAGAGAGAAAAGCTGTGTGTGGGTCAAGGGAGAGGGAGTCTGTTTGCACACTATCATGCTAGCAAAGGTGACATCGGGGGGGCTTGACAGGGTGGCAAGCAGGGAGGTGTGGGTGCTGGTTAGGTCTTGCTGCTGTTCCCCATTCCTTGTGTTTCACCTTAACTGGCTTTTGCCATGGGCATGGTGAACACCTGGCACAGATGTTTCCCTCCCACCCATAGAGATCCAGGTGAAGAAAGGTGGGTAAAGGCAGACCTGAGGCTGACATCTGCACTGATTGCTGACTCTCAACCCTGACTGTGGCTTAAATGGAGGGCTGCAGCCTCCAGGGCTTTCGGGCTGTCACTTGTCATGTGGCAGAAATCATGCATGTCCTTAACAAAAATTCAAACACCGGTTTTGAGTGACCCTCATCTGGCCCTGCTTTTAAATGCAAGAATATGCATCTCAGTGCACAACCTGGCTGCTGCTCCCTCCGTCAGTAGGAGCCGCAGAACCCAAAATAGCTCCTGTCAAATCAGATGGGCAGTTGGAGCGGAAGCAATCAGTACATTGATCCAGTGGCAGAGCTGTACTCATCGTGGCATGGGACAGATCTGCAGATGCAGAGAGACTGCTCTGTCATCGCTGCGGTGGTGCAGGAGCTGTTGCTCAGGTGAGCAGGCTGCAGCCAAGCTGCTGTGCTGTGTGCTCAGGTGGGTCCTGAAGGTTAAACACTGATTGGAGCTTTCTAGAAGGCCCTCTAAGCATGGAGGCAGTGTAAGAAATAGCTTTCCCTAACCTTGGTCATGCTGTCATGGGCAGCACTGGTGAGAATGATGCTCTCATGTGCACCCAGGAGGATGTTAGCATCCAATGTGCTGTTCAAGTCAGGGACTCCTGCTCCTGAAAGAGCTTCATGTTCCCAGAGCTGTCCTTCAGGCTTGTTTTCCATGTTTCTGACACAGAGACAGCCCAAATTGCCACTGGGACTTTCTCACTGTGTTTTGTGTCCGTAGCTTGACAGGAGCTTGGGAATCACTGCGGGGCTGGAGAAGTGCTGGTCTCCCAGCCAGTAGCCCATGCATTGGGAGGCTTTGGCGGGATCCTCTCTGCCCAGGCTGACATCAGGCCCCATTCATCACCATTAGGGTCGAGATGAGCCTTGTCAGCACCCGCAGCGAGGAGGCAACTGCCTCCTCCGGACTGGCAGTCCCTGCAGTTTGCTTCTTAAGGCTGTTTAATTGTTGTTCCTCTTCAGGAGCCCAGCTCGGCCCTGTGTTCGGCATCCTTTACAGTGGCAGCATGAGCCTGATCCCATGGTTAGTGCCAGGTATGGTGGTGGCACGTCATGCTTTTATCTCAAATACCAGCCCAACTGGGCTTCCTCTTACCTAGTGAGAGTTTGGCCTTGTTTAAGCAGTGTCTTGTTAAGGAAGTGTCTGTCTCTACTTCCAAAATGCTCTGGGTCTTTTTCTAAGCCTATTTCACACTGACATTTATAGCTGCAACTGTGTTCAAGGATGAAAATCAAGCAGTGCTTGCCCCTTCTTCCCCCCATCCTTTTCCTCCTGTTCTCTTTTCCCGCAGGGCTCAGCTGTGGACAGAATGCAGAAGCACAAAGCAAAATCCATTTCTCCCTCAGTGCATTGTTCAGCCTATAAAATGCCAACTCCTACTCGTGCTCAAGTGGGGAGGGCTGGAGAGCACTCAGGTTGGCAGAGCTCCTCTGTAACTAAGATACACTGACCTCAGTGAATCACGAGAAGTTTGGTTAACATCAGGAAGCAAAGTCATAAGCATGAAATGGATGATATGCTGGCAGAGAATACATTGCATGTCATTCCCATATCAAAGTGTAGTGCTGTCAGAAATCGGCTCTTGACGTGCATGACTTCTGAGCCTGCAGAGATGGTGAGTGAGTCTTTAACAGAACACAGCTAAAGCCACAAAGAGCCAGGTCCCTGCCGCAGGGCACAGGAGAAGGAAGATTTGCATGTGCACAGGTTAGAGCAGGCTGTAAGCTCTGATGCTGACATAAGTCCCAAAAGGACGAAAGTTGACCAAGCAGGGAAGGAACATAAGGAAATCAGCTCTGATGGTATGGCAGGACCCTCTGGAAACAAGAGAAGGGACCTGGGCACAAAACCTGTGTGCCCAGGGAGGGTAGCCTTTCTGCACTGCTTCTGCTCCATAGGCAAAGGGATTGGGATGGATTTGCACTGTATTTTCATAGGGAATAGCAGCTTTCAAGATGTTGCTGCCTATGTGATCTGGAAGGGTCCCAAAGGACAATAGTAATGGGAATAACCGGAGTGCAGAAAGTTCCCTGACCATGTTCCACCCATGAGAAAGTAGGGGATGGTGATTTAGCTGTGTAGACCTGGGGGCCACACTGCTCCTTTCAGCTGCACCTTCTTATTAGCCTCTGGATGGGAATGGAAATGTCCTTAGAGCTTTTGCATGATACACCTTTGATGTTGGCATATTTACCATCTATTTAGTCTATGACTTTGCTGGTAGAATTGTATTCCATTTGGAAAAGAAATTTGTTAGAAAAATCTCTGTGTTCACAAGGGGCTTTCCTGGGAGAGCTCTCCCCAGGACAATAGTACCTGCAAACCCTTTTAAGTATAGACAAGAGCTGTTTAGGAAGCTTTAAGCTCTCCTGGTGGATAAAATCCCTCACATGCCATGTTCCACAGATGAACTGATTCCCTTTTAGTAATCTGCTGGTGTTTACACAGGGCTCAACTGCTCACACACCGCATTATGATTATTGGTGCCTTTTAAAAACCCTGTGGGTAAATGTCTGCCTAGGCAGAAATTCTCCCTAGCTCATAATTCATTCCAGTCCGAACCTCCTAGGAATCTGTAATAGCTTCTTGGAAACAATTGCAGAGATCTGGCACTGAGCTTGTCCAATAAGCAGTCCTGCATGGGCTGTGAAATATCACCTTCCCCATGACCCCCTTAGTGGGCAGGCTTGCAGAAGACCTTGCCTTTCTTTTCCCTTTCCTTCATCCTGCAGGCTCCAACAGTGCTGCTCTTCCCTTTTGTAACTCCAGCCTTTCACCAGCCCTGCCTCCCTGCCTGCCTTTATGTCTGTTGAGGGCAAAGAGGGGGAAAGAAAAGCTCTGCTGAGAGGTTATTAGTCATCTTAAGGAAAGTAATGCAAGAGCAGCAAGGTCAGAGAGAATGGTGAGAGTGATGTACCCACAAATGTGCCTTTGGGTGGTGCGTGGATCCAGGGAGATAAGCCCCTTATTTTACTGGGTCTTTAGTCCTGATGGTGCCCTGGCTTCTGCACAGACCATATGAAACCTAGGGACAACAAGTGCATATAGTTGTTCTTTTCCTCCCCTTCTCTTTTTCCACTTGTATAACCATCATCCTGCAAAGCAGGCAAACAAATATCTAAGGGAATGGAGAAGGTTAAATTTTGACAGAAAGCAATTACAGACATTAAAAGAGCTACAGTAATAAAAATAATATTTAAAATTCAAATCCCTTATCTATATTACAAGGGTATTAACATTGGAAGAAATTCTTTCTATTTTTTTCCCCTAATCTCATTTGCTTTGCAAGTCAATCTGGAAAATTTTATGCCAGTCCTCTGAATTTTTTGGAGGCTGATCTGCAGTTATGGAAGTCTGGGGATGGCAAGCTTGTAAACTCAGGGTATGGGAGGTAATGGTGCTGCTTTGCTATGCTTTCCTGCCTATGCTGCTTGCAAGTAACACTCTTGGCTGGGAGGGGGGCAGCAGGGGCTTTGGAAAGGGGAGGTTGTATCTTCTTTAGATTAGTAAGCTAGTAATTGTCTCATGGCTCCTGTTTTGCCAGATCTTAAAGCATTTAAGTAGTTGAAATGGCAATCAGGCAGTGAGCACTTGGGGAAGGGGTTACCATTCTGTTTACTGTAAGCACAGTGGGCTTCCCGCTGGTTGCTTGGTGCTTTTCCAACCTGCAAGTATAGAGATGAAAGCACCCATGTGAGGAAAGGGAAAACAAGAACGGTCTGGAGCACAAGGTGGGTTAAACTTTGGAGCGTGTTTGAGCAGGGAGAAACCCAACAGGGGAGAAGGATGCAGGAGCACTAGTGAGCATCACCAGCAACACTTGTGCTGTTTCCACGGAGCCTGGGGTTTGCCCCACAGCAAATGTACCCCCAGAAGGATGAAACATCCATCCTCTGGGAGTGAGTATCGTGTGTGGCCCTGGCATGGCTCTGCTGCTTTCCCAGGCTCAGGATCCTGAACTTCTCTGCTCTCCTTTCTCTCTAGAAAGCCGATCTGGCCGTGGCGGGGCTGACCATTACCGCAGAGAGGGAGAAGGTGATTGATTTCTCTAAGCCATTCATGACTTTGGGAATTAGCATTCTCTACCGAGTTCATATGGTAAGAGGTTTATTTTATAACCATTTATGTCCGTCCATTATTTGCATGCAAGTGTGCTGAGATATGGAAGAAAAATGAATGACTCATAAAAATGTTTTGGTTTCTTAATTAAGCGCAAATGTGCCTAGAGGGAGAAGGTGATTGATTTCTCTAAGCCATTCATGACTTTGGGAATTAGCATTCTCTACCGAGTTCATATGGTAAGAGGTTTATTTTATAACCATTTATGTCCGTCCATTATTTGCATGCAAGTGTGCTGAGATATGGAAGAAAAATGAATGACTCATAAAAATGTTTTGGTTTCTTAATTAAGCGCAAATGTGCCTGACCTTTATTTCCTTCTTTCCTCTGTCTTTCTGCCTTGTGTCAGCTTGGTGGATTCGATTCCTGTTGTTCAAACCCCCAACCCTGCTGGCTCTGCTTCCTCATCCTCCCATGTAACACTTCATGGGGGGCCATGAGCAAAGCCCTGGTCCAAACGTCCTAATCTCAGCTGTGTTCCCAGCCCCTTTGGTTGCAGCCTTGCTGCCTTCTCTCATCTGAGAATAAAATCAGGCCAGGAACATATCTAGGATCACTTTCTTGGCTGTGCCCTCCTGTAAATGCTCTACACACAGATTGGTACTCTGCTTTCTTAATCACAAGCAGGAAAAGGGAAAAATGGCACTCCTTGAGTGGCCCAGGGCACTGTCTGGAGAAGGCACACAGCAGGCTGAACTCTGCCACATGCAATTAGCTCCTTGCCCTGCATGGGCTCTGTTTCTCTGCTCTCAATCCTTCTTATTCACCTCCTCTCAGTTGTCACGCTAAAGATCAGCAGGTCCTGCAGCCCAGGGACAGCTCCTTACAATTAGGATGCTCCCTGCTTTGCATGGGTGCTCTCAGACCATTTGCTTCTGGCCAGGAAGGAGTGAGAAGGGAGCTTGCCGTTGTTTAGCAACTAGCTCTGGTCGTTGCTCCACTGCATTCAATAATCTCTTGCTATCCAGCAGCAGCAGTGCCATGGTTAGATGCTGCCACCCAAAAGGCAAGCCAGGCATTACGTGGTGGCTGTGGCTTGGAGCAGAATCTGCCCAGGGGGTTTGCTTGTGCAAGCTTATACATGATGTGGTGTCTTGTCTTTGCTTAGACAACACTCCTTGTTTTAAATTCTTGTAGATTTTCTTGCGCTCCCATTTTCTGTTGTTCTAGCTTCTTCCTGAAGCTCAGGAGAGGACAGATTGCCCCCATAAGGGGCACACAAAGACCCTGGTTCCCTGATACCACAGGAGGTGAACTCAGGCAGCCAGGTCCTTTGCAACAGGATGTTTTATTATTCCCAATCTGCAGTCTGGAAATGTGCTCTGTACAGTGCTGAGTGTGATGTGAAATAGAGCCTTGGTTTCCCATCAGCTCAATAATAGCAGCCAAAAGGGTAAAACAATTAAAGCTGCCTCTCTCAGCCACCCCCTCCATTCAGAAGGCTGTTAAGGATGCTATGTTGGGTATAGGCACAAACAAACGTGTGCATATATCTCTGTGCCGAGGGGCTGCTGCCAGCAATAAACATGTAATTAAAATCTAGTTAAAATTGTTTCCTCTGGTACATGCACAATTTAGGATCAATGACTTAATAGATCAAAAAGGGTCAGACTCTTCAGCCTCCTGGAAATCAAATCTAACTGTCCCTTCCCTTCCACGCTTGCATTTTCACACCATGAGCTTCCCTGTGGATCCAGGAAGTATCTTGGCTGGATTATACTTGAGTTTCTTGCTTTCTCACATACATTTGTAAAGTTTGGAGCCTGAGTACCATGTGTGCTCTGCCTTTGCTTTACACCATAACCTTCAGCATGTCCCTTAATGAGGCATCATTCCCTGCACAGCGTGAAGCTGCTGTTGCTCCCTCCAGAAGAAACACAGGAGTGTTGGTGCAGGGTTTGTATGTGATCTGCTCTGTAAGTGCAAAGCATTTGCTGCTGCCTCTGTGCAAGCTCAGTATAAATGTGTCTGATGCGTCTGCTCACTGTGTATGTTCTTCAGGGCAGGGACCATCTGCTGCTCGCACTGGTACCAGAGTAAAGCATCACAGCCATGTTCCATCCTGCCCTTCAGGCATTCACCAAACCAAACAGGAGTAATAATTACTCTTAAGAAGTGTAGGCAAATAGTTCCCTGCTGTTGGTCAGGACTTGGTTTTCAGCTGCATGATAAAGGACCCAGTTAGGGCTTTGAGGTCAGTTGCTGCCCAGTGACCCAGGCAGGCTTCTAAAGGAGATGCTGGGCATCTCCCGTGTTGGGTCACCCTGCACGAGCCCTGCTTTGCCACATCAATGCCATGAGGAGTGATGGCAGGGGCAGCAGGGAGGTCTTCTCTTACCTCTCCAGCACTGCACCCAGGTCTTTGTCCAGACTTTTTGGCCTTTGCTTGAGGAAGAGTATCTGAGAGCTGTGCTGCAACTCACTTGTGAAATTAATATATTTAACAAGGAAAGGTGAGATGGCCAATTGCTCTGGTTTTCCTTTAAGGATGTGGTTTGGAGAGCAAAGGAAGGCAGCCCCACCTGCTCCTATCTCCTCTCCTCCCTTTCCCAACCCAACAAACACCTCTTCCATGTCAGAAATTGCAGCTGACATACGTTAATCACGGCACAGCTCAGGTGTAGCCTAACGAATAACCACAAATACATCTCTGGTCTCCACACCCTGGTCTCCTCCCAGTGTGATGACATTTGTTTTAATTTCCGTGTTACTCCAGTGGCAAGTGATTTCTCCCCCCTGTCTCCTCCCCACCCACCAACTCAGTCACCACGGGTGCCTGTGTCTCTTATCACACATAACCAAATATGGCAGCTTTAAATGGGGCTGTCATTTTTTTCAATTTCATTTGTTGTGATATAATAAAGTATGGATTTCAAATACGGGGACTCTAATAGGCTTTCTGACTTGCAGGCTGCTAAGAGAAAAGGTTTGCTTGCTTTTATTATGTCCTCCTTCTGACCGGCTGGTGGGACCTATAGAAAGCAGGAGATAGATGAGTCCTCTGCTTGGCAGAGGGCTCAAATCAGGCGCCCAGTGCCATTTCTGCACAAAGGGATGTTGCAAGTCAGGTTTATTTGTAGCATACACATGTTTTTACTCACATACCTGCCTCTTTGGCAGGGAACAAGGGACTGGCTCGCACATGATTCTGGCTCATCAGCCCTTAAAGTCCTTATGAGCAATTTTAGGTTTGATGAGTACACTGGAATAGCTGAGTTTAGACCAAGTGAACTGAGGCTTTAAGTGTTTCTACTTGCTTGCTGCAGAAGACGCAAAATGGGAAGGACTGGATGAACAGCTCCTTCAGTTCAGCCAGAGGAGGCTTGACAGCCAAGGCAGAGGAGCTGAGCACCTCTCCTGACAACCCAAGCTGCTCTGCCAGCAACCCTCCTGCCTCATTGAAGCAGGTATTGGGAGCAACTGCTGGCCCCAGGCATGCCCTGGACCATGGCACACATTGGCCTGTCCGTTGTGAACCATTTGGCAGGCAGGGAGTCCATAAGGTCTCTTATAGGCCTGAACACAAATCCAGGACCATGCTGTACAGTTCACTCCTTCTCCTCTTCCTCAATGTCCTGCATATTCAAGCTCTTCCGTCGCCTGTATCTGCCCAGAAAACTGGTTTTCTCTGGCTGAAAATGAAGATCTCCAACGACTGAGAATGGTAAATAAATCTCTCCTGCTTTCATACGAGGATCTTCAGGAGGCCTTCATCAATTATTGGACATTTTGAACATTTCTATTCCAAGAAAAATAGCTCTTCCAATTAACAAAGCTGTATTGGGACCAGCTAAAAATATCTGACAGAGTCCAGATATTGTCATTCCCATCTTCAAAACAGACAGATAAGAGAGAGTTTGTGCCCTCCGTGGGAACAGAATATTTTTATTCTTATCCACAACTGTGAATGAAAAGAATATGTAGCAGCAGCCTGAAAATGACTGTAGCTGAAGAGAACCAGAACTACTACTACTGTACAGTCACAGGAGAGAGCCATTGCCAACCCTGAGAATTAACGCTTCCAACACAATTTCCTTAATGAGTGTAATTTATTGACAAACTGCCTCAGAAACATAGAGAAGACATTGAGGCCTTAATTACAGAGGGGAACTCTGTTACAGGAGCATCTCGGGAGGGAGCCTCAGCCAAGGCATTGCAAGTGCCTGGAAGTTTCCTGCCAGCTCTGGGATGCTGGGGGGGGATAAGCCACCTGGAACCATCTTCTGTTTGAGAAGCTCCAGTTTGCTCGGCTGAGGGCAGATGGTGCCCTTGACACCTTGCAGGTTCCCATTGCCTCGTGTCATTCTTGAGTGTGTAAACACCTATGGAAGAGAAGAGGCTGCTCAGCCTTAACTCATCTATTTATTAAAAGACTTAATAAGCCAGATGTAAAATATGCTAACATAGATCTCAAACTCATTTTGTCCTTAAGGATACAGGGATAGGATGTTATGGTATGGTCGGTCTTAACTGTAGAAGCTTTCTGAGATGTTACAGTCCCAGCTGGTGGCTGCAGCTGAGAATATCACTGTATCCTAGATACTTTTTAGTAAAGGAAGATTTCTGTGCAACAACTGTTGCCTTTTTTAGCAACAACTTCGCCTTTAGAGGAACTACCAAGACCTTGTGAAATTCAGGTTTTGCATAAGATGCTTCAGTAGTAGAACTGTTTTAATGGGAATGGGATTTAAAGTGCTTGCCTGGGAGGAGGCTGGGGAAGAAAAAAAGGGGGGAAAGAAAAAGCAGCTGTGTTTCCTGGGGACTTGAGTAAAAACAAAGTTATTCACTGTTTTTGGATTAAGCACAGCTCTAATGTATCAGGCCTCTGGTCTTTGATGGCTCTGGGTTTGCTATGGCAATTGAGGTTAGGTGTTATTTATTACCAGTTTTTATTAGCTGATGTGGTGTCAGAGCCGGGCAAGGTAAAGCAGTGGACTAAGGAAAAATTAGGTCTCTGTTTGCCAGAGGTGATCCCAGGCAGCAGCTTTTGTGTGAAGCAAGCAACCTACAGTGAAGCTGCTGCAAGGGAAGCGGCTGCTGGAGCGAGCTGCGTGGAACAAACAGTGGCAGGCGTTCTCAGCACACAGGCACCAGTGAGAAACACACTGACAGCCTGGCCGAGATGTGATAAAAGGCTATTTCCACTCTGATTTTACAGTAAAAACCTTTGCAAGAGCTCCAACTCATGGGCAACTCCCCAGTTACAGGTGCTTGGGGAAACTGTAGAGCTTGAGGTTCTGGGATGCCAGGACTGACTCTGTGGTTTGGAGCAGAAGATACAGGCTCCTGTGAATTAAGGGCTCGTATTTTCTCAGGGTTAATGCAAGCCTTTAGCCCTATGCTGGGATTTATACGCTGTTGCTGGGATATTTAGCCCATCTAGGATATTTAGCCCTATGCTGGGATTTATACGCTGTTGCTTTCAGAGGAGACGGTAAGGGAAGAAGATGCCTGAGGTACATGTGCGTTGCCCGAATACTTGCACCGTTCAGGGTGGGAGAGCTGTGTCAGGAGTGCACAGTGAAACCAAGCACTTTGTGCTCCACAAAGATAATATAAATTGCATTGCACAGAGAGCAAAAGAGCACTTCTTTAGACCTGTGGCTTGTCCTCTATTTTACCTCTCAACATGCTGGTGTTGAGCATGCTCCAAGGTAAGTTATCGCCTGCTCTTTCCACCATGCAGGAGGCTGTGTTGTATGTGCAAAACTGGTGGTGATGGGAGAAACACTCTTACAATCATGGGAAGTGTTCAGCTTTTAAGAAACTTGTAGAAATTTATCCTCCTTTTGCCCAAATTACGCTATATTTGACAAGATTTCAGCGGTGGCAGGCAGTGTCCTTGTGCAAATTTAAGGTGCTTTGAGAGAAGATCAACTTGCTTTTTCTGGCACTGAAGCCTTACTTTTCAAGGAAAGGTGGTTTGCTGAGAACAACCAGGAAACTGACGCATCCTAGAGATAAAAATACCGCGTTCCCTGAGATAAAAGTAATAATTTTATTGAGTTTTGTAGCGAAGAAACATTTCGAGGCTGAAAAAAGAGAACCAGAAATATTGCAAGCGCTTCTTTTTATATTTCTTTCCTGCCCAAAAATATTTTCTCCCCAATCTGCTTCGTGCAAAGGATCCCTCCCACCTCTGAGCCCAGTCGTGCTCTCCCAAGGGAGGGAGCAGAGCCTGCTTGGGTGAACAAGGGCTCTGGATGGGGTCCAGCACACCCAGCAGAGGAAGGCAACGCGCTACAATTGTCCTGATTTATCTATCAATTTGCCTTTTCCTTTGCCTGGAGGAATAAAAGTAGTTGAGGTTGGGAGAAAAATAGTCTCAGCAGATGAATCCCAACAGAGAGATGGCTGCAGGACTCAGTTGTTTGATGCATTCACTATGACCTGTTTGCATTTGCAAAGCCCTGTTTATTTGCCTTCTGTTGCTCCCGTCCATTGTCAGCATCAGGGCAGGTGTGTTTCTTTCCGTTGTTTCCACAATAGACTATAGGTTTTGTAGAAATACAATGTAAACTCCTTTCTGTTTCCCTCCCAGGGCCGCAAACCTGGCTACTTCTCATTCCTGGATCCCTTCTCCCCTGGCGTCTGGCTCTTCATGCTGCTCGCCTACCTGGCGGTCAGCTGTGTCCTATTCTTGGTTGCTCGGTAATGTGCCTGGCGGTGCCTTTTGCTTCCTCACGGTGCCATCTAGCGTCATGCTCCCAGACCCGGGGGGGGGCATCATAGTGAGGGGATGGTCAGGGGGACATGGGGACATCCCCCAGGCCACCAGGATGGCTGCTGGTCTGGCTATGACAGGAGCAGCATGCCACAGTTCAGGAGCATTCTTGGACATGGCAGTGGGTGCTGGAGCTAAGAGCTGCATGGGAAGTGTGGGAGGAGGTTTGGCAGTAAGGCTGGTGCTGTGCAAAAGGTGCTGGTCCCTGTAGATGCTTGATCTATGACAGCTAAACCAACCATTTCCCTTAAATGGGAAAGGTGGAGGCTAGCAGGTACTGGCATTCAGAGTCAGACATGTTAGTGCAGATTCCAGTAGTGATGTTTGGTTCGTGTGGCCCTGTAAAACCCTGTATGTATGGAAAAAGAAAGTTGATTAATATCTTTCAGCAGCCTCTTGGTTGATGTGCAGAGCCTCACTTGACAGCTCTCAGTTCCACTTCTCTATGACTAATTTAAATCAGCCTTAAAATAAATCACTGAGTGCTTGTCTGCAGCGTGTCTCCCATCAAGGCCCAGGGTCTGTGCTCTGTTGCTGTTTTCCCTGTCCTTCTAACAAACTGCTTATGGTTGGTGGCATAGATGGGTGACCCTTTTTCTGGCAGGACTGAACTATGTCCTGGCTATGTGTACCAAAGACGTGCTCAGGACTTGACAGCTCTTTCGGGGCACGGTTAATACCCAGTTCCCATTACAGAAATTGGAACTGTGCTGTCACGTAGTCCCTTAGCATGGCTAAAGTTGTCATCCTGACAGGGCTTTAATGGTTTCTTCGAATGCCATTACAGCCCCAGAAACATAGTTCTGAAGAAACCATTGAATGATGCAGTCCAGCTCTCTGCAGGCTGAGATTTGGTGCCTCTTTAACCCCACCCATTTGGTTTAAACATGATCCTCCAAAAAGGTGCTTTGACACAACTTCCTGCTGGGGGTGGAGGTTTGGACACTGCTCTCTGCCTTACTCAGCAGTAAGGAGCTTTTGACCCTGTGAACTGCAGAAGACTCTCCTAGAGCAGTGGTTTTTAATGCCATTGCTTGATCCAACCTTAGAAAGTCTTCAAGAAATAACCTGGCATCACAGTGAGGTAGGAGATGCAGAAAGGAAAATAACCATCACATTTTGGTTAAATGGTGTGTAAGCTGGCAGAGCCCTGCAGCTGTATTAGCAGTATCCCTAAAATGACCCTCCCAGACACAGCTTTGTTAACCATTAGCAATATAACGAAATGCAACTTAGGAATTAGAAGTCTTTCTTAGCAACCGGGGATCTGAGGATTGGAAACAGCACAAAAAGAGAGCTAGGCTGCCATCACTTCAGTGACAGGCTGTCAGTTATTTCAGATTGCCACCTCTGTCCTGTCCCTGTGAGCACTGAAAGCATGTGATGCTTTGAAACACCAGCACTTGGCTTCAAACTGGGACCTAGACCTTGCTGGGGCAATCAGACCTTCTCAGAGCAACCATTACAGTTCTTGATGGTGTCATGCATTCAGGTCTCACACATTTCCCTTTTGAACTTCCCATTGATGCTCATTCTCCAGCAGGGAGCACAGCCAAAGATGTTTGATTTCAATTCCACATCAAGTCTGCGCACACCTGGAATGATGTTCGTGGATGTCTGTGGTGTGAATTTGTACACAGGGCTCCAGCCTCCCCACAGCCCATGCCCAGGTTTTCAGCAGAGCCTTTAGAAACTCTTGCAAATCTTAATAAGAAAGCCTCTGGCTTCTGAGTCTTAAGCAAGCATTTCACACAGCTCTGAGCCCTGGGCATCAGTTGACAGCAAAGAGTTTCCTCCTCAGAAAAATCTGCCTTCAGGAGAGTTAGGGTTTTTCACAGCTCTTCTTACTTGGTTTTGCTTCTTTTCTCCAAAGTGCCCCATTTCCCAGTGAATTACGTGAGCTACACGTTTCTTGTCATTTCAGATTGACACCGTATGAGTGGTACAGCCCCCACCCCTGCTCGCAAGGTAGATGCAATCTTCTCGTGAATCAGTACTCTCTTGGCAACAGCTTGTGGTTTCCAGTCGGGGGATTCATGCAGCAAGGCTCCACCATTGCCCCCCAAGCCTTATCCACACGCTGTGTCAGTGGAGTGTGGTAAGATCAGCCCTCCTTTTAAGGAAGGCTTCTCTGTCTGGGTCTTTTGTGGGCAGAAGCAGATGGGGAGGTGGAGGGTGGGAATGGGGGTCAGTCCATGGGGAATCTCAGTTCACTGTCTTCGCTTCCGCTTTCCCTAGGTGGGCATTCACCTTGATCATCATCTCCTCCTACACGGCCAATCTGGCAGCTTTCCTCACCGTGCAGCGGATGGACGTCCCCATCGAATCTGTGGATGACCTAGCTGACCAGACAGCCATCGAGTACGGCACCATTCATGGTGGCTCCAGCATGACCTTCTTCCAAGTAAACCCCATTCTTTTGCTAACCGGGACAGAGGGCACCTTTTAATCACATTTGGATGTACCCCCGTCCCGTCATTCCTGTTTCTGGTGCAGGATGGACTCCCACCTGCTCGATTGCACAGGACTGGGCTAGATCCACAGTGGGGGATGATGGGATGAACGGTGGGGGAGGCATGGCAGAGGACAGGGAAAGCAGGATGTTGTAACACAGCAGCTGGTGTGCTCTTGGGATGCTGGTTGACTAGGATCAGGACCTCTGCTGACACCTGGACTTGGTGCTTGGACTTTAAAAAGCAACTTAACAGTTGGAGTGTTACCAAGTGGGTGAGAAAGTGGTACACAACCCTGTGTCACGGTATGATATAACAGGGTCTTCAGCAGATGAGCATTTGCAGTCAAATTTCTATGTGCTTCTGATGTAATCTTAGCTTTTGTACGAGAGTACCTCAGGTTAGGTAAGCAAAGCCATGTTTGCACATGCCAAGTACTGTGTGTCAGAGTGCTGGAAGCGTGCATGTGGTCAGTGACACTGAAAAAAGTCAAGTGTATGCAAACTTGAGCGAGCCATTTAGCCCAATTTGATTTTTGTCTTCCCTGCTCTATTCAGAAGGGAAATAAAGGAATGAATCCTTTCTGCTGTGCTCTGAATGCAGAAAGAGCTGCTTGAGGATTATTTATTTATTACTGGTTGAAATTCCGAGAGGAGAGAAAGCTTTTCTCACTTTTTTCTCCCCTCTTGAGTCTGAACTGCATTTGGAAGTCTGAGAAATCTCTCGAGCGAGCCTGAGCTTTTCAGCCCAGCTTTACGCCCTCCAAGGCTTTGGCAAAAAGCTGCTTTTAAGCAGAACATTATATCTAAAATGAGCTGAACAGAGCCCAAGTGACTATGGTGGTTGTCTATGAGGCACTTGCTTAGTTCTTTTCAGGAAGGCTTTCAGGTTTAAATCCTGTCTGTGGCTCTGTGATGCCTGGTGGGTGCTGGAGTTGCTGGTATCAGAGAAGGAATTAGCAAAAGGTATTCTTGTACCATTTGCAGTGCTTTAAACTATGTTGGGTTCCATTTGCTTCTGGTGTAACAATGGCTGGGTGATGGATTAAGCCAGCATGGCTGAGGCTGTCTTTACCAGCCCTCAGTTCCTGCTTGCATGAGATGTATGTCCACTGTTGGAGCACCTTGTCTTGTAACCTGTCCTGGCAGCCATTTCCCCTGACACTAACACACAGGATTAAGGTTTAAAAGCACAGTGAATAGGGAACAAACACAGTCCCAGTTCACCTGTCCCTTGCCCAAGTGACTGCACCCAGGGGACAGAACTGGACAGATGAGGACGGTAACTGGGTCAGCAGCAGATTCCCTGAGGCTCTCCAGCATCATTCACAGCCACAGAAAATGAGCCTTTGAAAGCGCAATGGCAGGGGGTGCCCGGCAGCATGTCACGTACCTGGGAGAGGAGGTGGTGTGTAAGGGGTTCTGTGTGCTGCAGAAATGCAGGGGGAAGGGAGCAAATTCAGAAACTCCTTATGTAGACCAAAGTGTGTTTATCTTCAGTTTCTGTGCCAGCAAGTTTCACTCTTTATTCAGCAAAGGCAAGAGAGATTAATGATTGTTAGCTCTTCTCTCAATCAAACCAAGGTGGGCTCAACCACCAGCAAAGTCTGAGGATTTGGGACTGATTGAGCTTTAGTTTACTGTAGTCAATGAAAAGGCTCCAGTTCTCTAAAGCAGATACGCTGATTTGCCTCACGAGGGGGTGAACCAAAAGCTGGATTCAGGGAGCAACAAACTCCAAAGAGTTTTGGTGCTGCACTCACCCTCAGAGCTCTTCTCAGGATGATGGCGTCTGGCTCCGATGCTGGTGAAATGTTAAGCACAAAGTTCCAGTGACAGACAATAGGGTATGAGCTCTCCAGGGACCATTTGGTGGCTTAAGTCAACAAAGCACAAGCTATTTCTTCTGGCTTTTTTGTGTGTATTTTTGATATTCTGTTTTGGAAACGATGTATTTTTCTAAAATTGAAATTATGCAGAGAGCTTTGCTGGAACGTATTAGAATTAGGTATGCATTTCATGCCCAGCTTTGCCAACAAAACCTCAAATCCACTTAGATATTTGGGCCTCTAAATCTCATTGAAATTAATGGAGGTTAGGCATCTAAAGCCTTCTGGAACCCAGCGCCAAATCTGCTTTGACTCCTTTCCCCATTGTGGCCTTTTATAGACACCCTTAGACACCACTTTTACAGTGGTGTCTAATGGGAGGCTTATGTTGCTGCAAGATGCTCCTACCTCAGCTGCTCCCTTTGTCCTGCAGAACTCCCGCTACCAGACATACCAGCGGATGTGGAACTACATGTACTCCAAGCAGCCCAGTGTCTTTGTGAAGAGCACGGAGGAAGGGATCGCTCGTGTGCTGAACTCCAATTACGCCTTCCTGCTGGAGTCCACCATGAACGAGTATTATCGTCAGCGCAATTGCAACCTCACGCAGGTCGGGGGCCTTCTGGACACCAAGGGCTACGGGATTGGCATGCCCGTCGGTAGGCAGTGAAGACAAATTCTAGTCCTTCTCAGCTGTCGGCAGAGGACCGGAGCATTTGAAAGGCTGAACCGGCTCTAAAGCCAATGTCACGTTTCACAGCTCTGCCCAGGGTCATTTTCTATCTCGGGAGGAAAATCAAATACTTTGCAATTGCCCAAGGTGCACGCTCAGAGCCAGATGTGTGAGACCCTGCTCTGATCCAGAGCTATGTGACACGTGACTGCGGCTATTTGAATAATTCATGTGAAAGATGTTTCAAAATTGCTGCTTATTTTCTGCATATATGCTCTTTTCTGACTGTTTCCCCTTTGAACCAGTGTTTTTGAATCCTTCTATTCTCCTTGCTGTATCTCAGAACTGCCGTAAAAGTAATGCTGCTGCAACTCTTGTTTTTAGCACAAGTTTCTTAACAGCTAGTGGTTCTTAAAACTCTAGGACAGAGAATTGGGCAATCCAGTGACTATCTCGGCTAATAATCAGGTTTAACAAATGCAGGGGTTTTGTCTTTTAAATGTGAGAGATAGCAAGAGAACATCATCTCCCAGGCCAGCACAAAGAAAGGATGTAGTGGTTGTTGTTCCAAGCGATAGGCTGTTCTTTCAGCCACTCACAGGCTTGGGAAACCTTGTTCCTGACCTTTAAGCACTTGCACTTAGCAATACAAAGTTAAGGTGAATTGCATCAGAACTGTCACACAAGCAATCACTATCGTTTAGCTAACATGCGTAAGCTTGTAAAGTCACAGTAACCTGAGTGTGAGTACAAATCCTTACTTTCAGGACTAAGTTTGTTCTCACATTGTCTTGTTAAACAGTGAAACTGTAGCAGATAAGAAAAGCAGAATAGCTTCTCGCTGGGACAATAGTGCAGAGTTACTGGGAGAACTGAGGTCTTTCCCACGGCCCTTCTTTGGGATCATCATCCTGGCTGCAATACAGTTCAGTACTGAGCACAGAAGTGAGTCTCCTGTACCACGAACCTTTGGGCTTGCATGCAGGGTGAACCTGCTGCCGTCACAGTGCAGCAGTATTGAGGGAAGGGGTGTTAGAGCAAGGTTAAAATGAAGGCAGAATGACAGGAGAGGGACCTCAGTGGTCTGGAGGAGCAGCAGTGCGATACTGAACTGCCTGTTCAGACCCTGCCCCTGAAGCCAAAGCTCTCCCTTGTAATGGACCTCTTTAAATGGGTATTGGTGGATAGGTGAAATTGCTATCTGAAAATGAGATTTGACAGTTGACAGTCCCAGCAGGGAGGCTGAAGGTTTTAGGGGCTTATATGGACTGAAATCCCTTCCAAACCATTCAGAGATGAGCTTTTGTACCTGGGTACACTGGCAGGGCTTTTGGCGGGGATGAGTAGGGAGGAAGGCTGGCTGACGTGGTGCCTTACCACCTACTTCTTGGTGTTGCAGGCTCAGTGTTCCGTGATGAGTTTGACCTGGCCATTCTCCAGTTGCAAGAGAACAACCGCCTGGAAATCCTCAAGAGGAAGTGGTGGGAAGGAGGCAAGTGCCCCAAAGAGGAGGACCACAGAGCCAAAGGTGAGCCATGCGCGTGCTGAAAAGACAAAGCAGTTGAAGCATCCTTGCCAGCAGTGCAAGGATGAATGTCCATCTGCACATGAGTGCTGCCAGGTTTTCTGCCTGAGAAGTACTTTTTCCCCTTCTGCTGACCTGAGATTCCGTCACAATTCAAGGAGAAAGCCAAACAGCTCTGCTATGCCTCATGCTGTGTGTTTTTGCCTGGGGCAGAGAGAGCGAGAACAACCAAATGACAAATATTGGAGGCATATGGAGGGTAAATTAGTTTCTAATGAATGTCTGGGAAAATGGATGGCTAAAGGGATCAGACCAAAATCCTGGGTTCCTTCAAGGGAGATGGATCTCCACCACAGGCCCGCTGGTTAATGGCTCCAAGTGAAAGCGCCTTTTAAACAGCCAGGGGAAGGGATGCAAGGACTTCATTAGTACATCTGTAAACTGAAGAGCAAACTCTTTTGCAAAGCTATGCAAATTTCCATCAAAGCTACCACATTAGGCTGATATCCCAGTGTGAGAGCAGTTGCCAGCTTAATGCAGTTGCTGCATGTTTTAGTTTTGGCAGTCACTCTTTC